ATCCTGGCTACCATGATCAAGCCTGGAACCTTCAAACTCAAGGATTCAGATGGGAAAATTTTGCCCCGGACTTGGAATGCAGAAAATTTTCGCAAGTATTATCAGTAATACCCCAGCCATGTGATCCAAATATGTTATTGCATCGCAACTCATGCATAATCAATGTATCTTAAATGTTATTCACTTACTTTCCTATACATAAAAGATATTTTTAGAAAGCATAATAGCTCATCCTCGAGTCATTTCATGCTCTTGAGCCGAGAATAACACAGCTTCGGTTGTATCTTAGCTTCGGTTGTATCTTAGTCAACTTCGGTTGTATCTTAGTCAAAGCACGATCAATCCTAGGGGGATTTGATCTAACCTCTTCCATATGGGTTAACATCATTGAGTTTTTACTCCGATAAACAATCTTGGATTGGTTAACAGTCCTTAGTGGGCTACACCTGACCCCTTCCACACAGGTTCATAAGTGAGCAATGCTCCGACAAACAACATCGGATGGGTTAATAAGTCCTTGGTGGACTTTCGTTGGCTCTTCCTATGCAGGTTAAATCATCAAGTAAAACTCTGATAACTAACCTCAGCCAAGTAAAATGTTGTTGATGATTTATCTCCACGGTAACCTTCTCACATACTAGATCTTCTAAATGATATCTTGTATCACTGTGACATGAAGATACTTGGGGAGCAAACATCTAACAAAATAAGTTGATCGGCATGCATCACTAGTACAATATTTTGACAAAGTTTGAAAAAAAAAATAACAATATCTGTGTAGTTAAAGCAACATGACAATAGCAAATACGCAACAAACATTAAAAGGAAGAGTAAAATACTAATTGACGTCAACGTTCTCCTCCGCCACTTCGTTGTCATTGAAGAACACCTTATTTAGTTCACTCTCGATGTCATCACCATCAGAATCTGAGGAAGGGTCCTCTGAAGCCTGGCTTGGAGTGAGCCCCTCAACAATAATCCCGGTTCGACGTTGTGCCGCTCGACTCCCCTTCAAGAAACCCCGGATGAATCCTTCTTCGGTGAACCACTTCTGTTGCTCATTTACCTCAACATCAAGTACATGATCACGAACTTCTTGGACATGGTCTCGAATGATAGTTTTGAACTTACGAGATTCATGAAGTTTTCAACTGCTTTACGTTTAATTTCTGAAACATCGACATCTTTTGCGGACCTCAAAAGCCAGATCTCTTCTTCTTGGGCTGACACCGTCAACTTAAGGGTTTTCACGTTCTTATTACTTTCACAAAGGCTTACCGCTTCCCCTTGCTTCCACCAACCCCTCCCGAGTTTTCTCCAGATTCTG